AGTTTAAGAATAAAGAGTTTGAAGACTTTCTGACCGAAAAGGGAGTATCTCACAACTTCTCTGCTCCTTATACTCCACAACAGAATGACATTGTTGAAAGACAAAACCATTCCTTATGTGAGGCGACCACAACCATGCTGAACTTCGCTTCTCTTCCACTATACTTCTAGGATGATGTTGTTGCAACTGCATGCTATACTCAGAGTCGATCCTTACTTAACAAGCGATTCTCTATCACTCCGTATGAGATTCTGAACAATCAAAAGCCCAACGTTAATTTTTTCCATGTGTTCGGATCCAGGGTACTAGAAAAGGATATACACTCGGAGGTGAATGCAGCAGACAAAAAAATCGACCATCTAAAAAAGATCATCGATGACGTTGCGAAAGATATGGAAAATAATTCTTCTAAGCCAACTGATGATCAATCCTTAATTGACCCTCCATATAACAGCTCAATATTCAAGGGGGAGGGTTCATCTATATCAAATACAATTGGATTATCAACCAAGGGGGAAAATCCAACTTCAACCGAGAGGGAGAATCCAACTTCAACCGAGGGGGAGAATACAAATCCAACCAAAGGTGAGGATCCTGAACCTGACAAGGGATACACTTCACCATTTGAGGGGGAGAATGAAAAATCAAATGACGAAGACGATCAATTAAAATTTGAAGAAGAGGTAAATGTAGAGCTGGATCCTGTCTATGACCCGAATTAACCTCCTCTAACAAAATGGAGTAAGGATCATCCCAAAACACAAATTATTGGTGAATCATCTGAGAGAGTTCTCACACGCTCTCAATTGAAAGCGAAATAAACTGCTCTATTCTCTCATGTTGAATTCTTCATGTTTAATTCGTTTGTCTACAAAATCGAAACGAAGACGATTAATGTTGCACTTGATAACGCTGAATGGGTACAAGCTATGAAAGATGAACTCAATGAGTTTGAACATAATCAAGTTTGGAGGCTGATTCCCACTCCAAAGGATGTTTCTATTTAAAATGGGTCTTCAGGAACAAGTTGGACAAAGAGGTCAACGCCATTCGCAATAAGGCTCGGCTAGTGGTGAAGGGATACTGTCAGGAAGAAGGAATAAATTATGAGGAGACCTTCGCTCCTGTGGCAAGGTTGGAATCGGTTAGAATCTTTCTGGCATATGCTGCACATAAAAAATTCGAAGCTTTCCAGATGGATGTAAAATGTGCTTTCTTAAATGGAGAACTAGAAGAAACTGTGTACGTTGAACAACCTATTGGGTTCGTGAACGAGAAATTCCCTAATCACTGCTATGTATTAGATAAAGTTGTATATGGTCTAAAGCAAGCACCGAGGGCCTGGTATGAAACGTTAACTCGATTTCTTAAAATGATGAAATTCAAGCAAGGCTCGGTTGACCCAACCTTCTTTCGAAAGAAAGAGGGTGAACATTTAATGATAGTTAAGATTTATGTCGATGATATCAACTTCAGTTCCACGGATCCTAGCTTAACAGCTGAGGTCAGGAAGCTAATGGAGACTAAATTTGAAATGACCACAATGGGTCCAATTAACTTTTTCCTTGGATTGAATTTAAGATAGGGACTAGAAGGCATTTTTATAAACCAGGAAGCTTACACGAAGAATTTGTTACTGAAGTTCGGAATAACGGGAGATTCAAAGGTGAAGGTTCCCATGGCATTTGGCACGAAGTTAACTTCATCCCTATAGAAACTTGCTGTTGACATAACACTCTATCGTCAAATGATAGGGTCTCTTATGTATCTATCGGCTAGTAGACCAGACATTATGTTCTCTGTTTGTTATTGTGCTAGGTTTCAAGCGAATCCAAGAGAACCTCACATGGTAGCAGTGAAAAGCATTTTTCATTATCTGAAGCGAACCTTGTCTCTCGGTCTTTGGTGCCCTACTAGATCTGGATTCTTTGTTCAAGCCTTCTCTAAAGCCGGTCTTAGAGGATGTGATTTGGACCGAAAGAGCACAACTGGTGGATGTCAATTCCTTGATGGAAAACTCATTAGCTAATAGTCTAACAAGCAAAACTTCGTGTCTCTTTCAACAGCCGAAGCTGAGTACATAGTTGCAACATCATGTACCTCACAAGTAATTTAGATACAAAGCCAATTAAGGGACTACGGATTAAGTATGAAGAAAATACCTCTCTACTATAACTCTAAAAGCGCAATAAGAATTTGTTACAGTCCGGTGCAACACTCAAAGACAAAGCATATTGCACTAAGATATCATTTCATCAAGGACCATGTTGAAGATGGAAACGTGGAAGTTCATTTTGTTCGGTCCTCTGATCAACTCCCTGACATCTTCACAAAAGCCTTACCAGAAACAACCTTCAATAAAATTTTACAAGGTTTAGGGATGATGGAAGCAGAGTCGGTACCGAAACCTCAAACCTCTCACTAAAAATTAGACAAGCGAAATAGAGCGAACGCGCGGTCTATTTCAGTTCCGGATTTTTCGGGAATCGAAATGAACTGAAAGCTCAGCTTATTTCGGCTCCGAATTTTTCAGGAACCGAAATGAACCGAACGCTCGACTTATTTCGGCTCTGTAATTTTCAGGAACCGAAATGAACCGAACGCTCGACTTATTTCGGCTCCGGAATTTTCAGGAACCGAAAGGAACCGAACGCTCGACTTATTTCGCTTCATTTATTTAAAGGTTTGGTTTCGGCTGTTTACTTTGTAAATTTTCTTTTAAGCCTTTTATTTGATTTATTTTCCCTTTTATCTTTGTTTCTAGAATTTCTAAAAATAATTTCATTTATTCTTGTTTGTTTTTCTATTTTTATTAAAAATACCAAAAAGATTTTATCTTTTGTTTGTTGTTATCATATTTTTTTTGCTTGTGTGTGGTTTGTTTATCTTTGTTCATTTCTTTACTAGGTACCAAGGAAATGCGGAGAATGAAGATTCAAGGATATTGTTGCAACATGATTTGGAACTAAGGCAGGTATGACAATTCTAATTTGAACTAGTTAAGTGTCCCTAGAAGCATAATGCTGCATGTAGACCTAAGCCTCTAAGGCTATGAGTGAGGCCTTGATGATTCGATCTATAGCTATCGTTTCTTCCCAATCAGGCTGCTACATTCACTCAATTCATGAGCTACGCTACTCTTCTCAAATGAGTTATGAGTTTTCTTCTTAGTCACTTTCATATAGCAGGGGTACTTTCTGTTCTTAACCTCCTCCTCTACATTCTCCATCAAATTTCGTTTCAATAATGTAAGCCTTGAGACTCTCATCTATTACCACTGAAGTTTATGGTTACACAAAAATCTGTGTCTATGATCTTTGATGCGTACACCACGTGTTAAGTGAGACCCAAAATCCAACACCTATAAAGAATTGATGGTGATTTTTAAAATTCAAGATCTCACTTGTTACCTATCGAAATCTCTTTTTAATTTGGCATGATCTTTATGAAATTATCTTACACCAAGGCATTTCTTCCCAAAATATCCATATTAGTTTTTGTTTTTGAGATTTCCATTCCATACTCAGTCACAACAAATGATATCTAACCCACTTGTTCAAAAAACTACATCGGTCTCACAAGTGCTTCACTCAACTTTCGGTCTTATATTAAGTATCGAAGTTCAGTTGAAGATAAACCTCCCTTAAAGCCATTATATAAAAGGAAGCCTTTCGATGTTTCTTAACAAACACTCGATCGTATTTTTTGGGGAACCACACAATCACTTCAAGTCTTTCTTGACTTTGAAAGAAGAGATCCGTGCCCGGAATCACCTGCTTCATGTCTTACTTGACATCACTCACATCCAATACACATTTTGTTTTATTCCTTTATCATTGGCACACTCCCGCACAAAAATTCTTTGTAATTTTCCAAAATTCTAGTTCCTGTTACTCATGGCTTGTTTTTTTGTCAATTGGAGCGAAAGTGATCACTTTAAAGTGAATGAATGAGTTATCTTTTGCTTGGGCTGAAAGTTGAAGATTGTTTCAGAAGAATGATATGTGGATAAGAATCCGCATCGAGTCATCAAATAAGGATTGATTTTGGGCGCGTGAATTTGAAATGATTTCTATACCCAGGCACGATGACGTCTATCTAGGGAATCCTACCTGTCACATCGAGATTTTTCAGGTAAATTTTCAGCAATCGTATACTGATTACAGACAATTTTTTCTCTCTCCATGAAATGGTATAATAGAGGATTCTCACACCTCTTTTACATCACTACCCTCTTGATACAACAGGCGATTGTTACTGTTTATCTTCGTCTTAACATCAACAAAGGCAGAATCTTCATCTCTTCAAGATAAAACTGGCATCATCATCATTTCTTTCCATCAAACCTAATCAGAACATGACCATTCAACTAAATCCATTTTTATATGATTCCTATATTTTACATGACGTTGAATGCATCAACTACTCCTCACTGGTAATCACTCTTACGCAGGTGGAATCCGTTCCCATGTCCATGCAATCTCAAGTGTATTCTACTGCAACGTAAGACAAGAACAAGGAGAGGATATACTTTCAAAAGTTTTAATCACAAGGCATCAATTTCAAAAGTCCGATTCTGCTCTCTGTTAGGGCTTGTTGTCGATGCTTCAATTATCTCTCCGGATTTCATCACCACGAATCAGTTGTTTACAATGTTCTATGAAATGGGTTATACTGAGGTCCTTACCACTTTCATCAAGTTCAAGAAATCTTGTCTACCTCCACAATGGAATGGGTTACTTACTATTCTTCACAAGGGACTCTCTGAATGGGTCGGTGGGTCTGATGGATCAAACAAGTGTTTCATGACCATTTTGTATGGTCTCTACAATGGAATTACATTGGATTATGGTTCCTTGATATGGTCTCAACTAGTGCAGAGTTCGAACTCCTTGACCAAACACTCTAAAGTTTCTTGTGGTTGCTTCTGGACCCTTGTTACTCGTCGGGCAATCAACTCTCTCCAGATCCCTGTAATGAAGGATTTCGTGCTTTCTTCAATGGCAACCTTTCTCACCAAGAAGATTATTGTTGCTGCTTCCTCAGCTTCTAAGAAAGTTAAGAAGTTGGCCCAAAAACCAAAGACTCCTTCACCTTCCAACTCTGGTAATGATGATGAGCAGAATGCTGATGAGGAAGACGAAGATCAGCGTGAAGATTCACCCAGGGTAATACACCACCTAGGTCTCCAACTCCAGAAGGCAGTCTTAATGATTATGTTCCCACTCCTCCACTCGATACGCTGATTGACTCAACAAAGAAGTATAATGATGTTGTTTTGAAAGCGTTCATGGATACAACCTTGCAACAATATCATGAGTATATTGATAAATCCACGGCTATGGTGGATGACTCTACTTCTTTATGCAAAAAAGCAACATCTGATATCAAAGAACTTATTTAAGATTCCAAGATTTTCTTAGACTCTCTCAAAGGTCATTCCGATACAATTGATGCCAAGGTGAATGCCTCAATTGATTCTCTTTCTCAGTCACTTTAAGGAGATCAAGTCAAGCTTGAAACGGTTCATTTTGATATTCTAACTGATAATAAGACTTTTTTGTCTTCGGTTGATTCTCGGTTGGAGGAAATTCACTCTGATTTGGCATTGGAACGCAAAATCAAAGAAGATCTTGCTCAACAGACCACTACCATTGAAGTATAGAAGGCTGAACTTGCTAAAGCAGAACGAGAGATTGCTTTGTTGAAAACCAAGCGTGCAGTTTTTAGAAGCTGTGCTGGTTATGTTCTCAATATGCTAAATAATGTGGTTCATGCTCATGATCTGATTCTTACTCTTACCATCAAGAATCACCTAACCTCCAAGCTTCTTCCGGCGATTGAACTTTTATGTGAAATGAAGGGTGTTTCGGGGAAGGATGTTCCTCCACAACAAGGGGGAGAAGGTAGATCCCAAGCTCCTCCTGTTCACCCTACTATTAAACCGGTGATTGTTAAAACCGAATTGAAGGATAATGTAGCTTCAGGTTCAGGTAGTCGAGAGAAGAAGAAAGGTGTCACTAATGAAAATGATGATAGTGATGAAGACAAAGAAATAATTGTTGATGCCCTAAAACACAAGAAAAGGGATATAGAGATAGATGAAAATCTTCGTGTTGCAAGGGAAGAGGAAGAAAGGGAACGACAGAAGAAAGAAGAGTTTGATGCTCTTGCTTGTAAAAAGGCTTTGTTTCCTCCATGGACTAGGGAGGGTCTGATCAAAGAAGCAATTGAGTTTCCAAGCATGTATTGGTTGGAACCTGTTGTCTCTTTTGATTGTGATAACACGATGGACTCTTAATTCGATATGCCTATAACCAGAAAGGCATTTGTTTTTCACTGTTTTGATTCTACAGTTGAAGTCCCCTCTCCCCATCCTCAGGTTGATCGTGATCTTATTGATTACTATCTCAAGTTCGGTCAACCTCAATACCTAAGGTGGAATGCACAGAAGATAACCACTGTCAAGGTGATGAAACCCTCTCTTGCAGGAAAATTTGTGAATGTTCAATTTCAAATAACCAGGGGTTCGACCAACTCAATCTATACAATTTCCTTAGTAGATCTTCGCAACCTAAATCCTCATGATTGGATTTTATTGTATAACATTTTGCTCATAAATGCAAAGGAGTGTGAGCCAATTCTCAATTATCTTAATAAGATGCTGGCCTCTTATATCCTTGAAGTTGCAAAAATGGATCAAGAGGTGGCTCTTGTTTTAAGGAAAAGGCCAACTGTGAAGTCGATTGGAAAACCTGGTGATGTGAACAAAATGAAGCTTGGTTAAATCGACTCCACTAATTTTACAGTCATGTTTACAAGATTCGAAGGTGAAAAGTTTTTGTTCGCTCTTGTTGATAAGCATTTGTTCTCTACAACCCGCTTGGAGCATAATCTTGATATCATTCACCGGTGTAAGCAGAACAGAGAGTCAGACAAGATGAATTTCACGTACATGATTTGGTGGTATATCACTTTCCGTCAAACTGTGTTGGCCATTATACCGAACGTGTTCAAGACTATCAAGAAATCTTCAGTTGCTCAATAGAACTGAGCTCTCGACTCCATTGACGGAAAGGGGGAGATTGTTTGGTATTTGGTGTTTCATCATGGGCTCGTTTTTGTATATCCGGATTGGGCCTATCCATCCGTGATTATAGATTAGTGTTACATTATTTATAGTGCATGCATGTATGCCTTAGAGACTACGATCATTATTATTATCATTATTGCTCATGTAACCCTAAACACCTCTACAGTCAAAGTTCTTAATCGAGCTCTTCTGAGGTCTTAAAGTTTAATCATTCAACACCAGTTAATCCATTCCAGTGTTCTTTATTGTGTTATCTATTACGTTGTCGTTCATTATTCTGCTTGAATCTATCAATCTTTAAGGAATATCATTCCAACACTCTTTCCATCTGAAGTATGCCAAGCCTCAATACAAGACTTGGAGTTTGAAAAAAAAATATGTACCTTAAGAGTTAAATCACCTGTTCAGACTGAAGACTTTCTGAACATTCAATTCAAGGGGTTCAAGGAAGCTAATCAAATCATGAATGAGTCTACTTTGGCAGACTTTCTATTCATGAATCCATACGATTGGATCTCCTTGTTCTTGATTGTGATGAAAGATGAACAAAAATGCGAGCCCGTCTTTGCCAATTTGAAAAAGGATGCTTATTTGCTACATCCTGTAGATTGCGAAGATGGATGTAGAGATTGCTTTTGTTCTGAAGAAAAGGCCAACTTTGAAGCCAGAAGAGGACCAAAGGATCTTCATAAGCTAAAGGTTGGAAAATTAGAAAGGAGTATTGGAGTGTAGTATACAACCGAAAGGTAGGTAACTCAGTTCAGAAGAGTATGTTCTTTTTGTGAGACAAACATCTGTACTCTTCTTCTGGTTTGAAGACTATTCTATCCATGACTGAAGCTTGTAAGGCAAACTTTGCTGGTGACTTGAAGGGATTTTTCAATATAATCAGATGGTACCAGGTTTCCAAAACTCGCTTCTGAACTAGATGCCAAAAAATTTCACTGTGTAGAGAAGACAACAATGAAGATACTCCTTCTATATTTGACACAAAGGGGGAGATTGTTGGGTCTAATAGTATTGTGTCAAATTTATACATATTCTAGTTTGTTTTATTCCGGTTTGGGCCTGTCCATTCTCGGATTAGCTATCTAGTCTAGCCTATATATATTAGATGCATGTATCATTAGGGTTACGGTTTTGGTCGCCCTACCTAGATCTCATAGAGAAGTTCTTTTATTGTGAACTCATCTAGAGCTACTTTAATCAAAGCATTCGACCTTATAATCCCCCCCCCCCCATAAGGTCTGAAAGGATGACTTATTTGGGACCAAAAAGTCCCCTAAATAAAGAAATGGTTAGATCTACAAGATGGAGTGATCAAGTTGAGAACTTTATACCTCCTAGAGGTTGCTAATAAGAAGATAGTCTCACATCGAAGATGCTTCCAAGATCCAAGCTCTTCTAACCAGCTTCTTCTTCGTCAAGAACATCACCAAAACACTCTAATGGTCTCAAAAAGCACTCTTCTCATTTTGGCTTTGCTTGGGCTCATTTTTCATAGAATGAGGCTGATGGAGGAATGAGAAATGAGGCTATAATGGTGTTTAAATATGGGCAAAAACCTAAAAATGAGGGTTTGCACTTTCTTTACATACGCCCTGCGTGCTAGGTGTACGCCCAACGTACTAGGGCATGCCTTAGTATGCCTAGCATACACAACGTACACTCAACGTACTACTCCTGAACAGAAATACGATATTTCCACTATGGGCCATTTTGTAATCCTTTCAAACCCAATGGATAAAATATAATATTATTCAACCATAGTATTGAAATTAAAATTACATTGACATCGAGATGTTACAATTCTGCATTTAAACTAGACTTCGTCCTCGAAGTCGGCCGTCGCGAATAACTCAAGAAAATGCTCCCACATCTCAGCCTCTAGGTCCCAGGTCCACTCAGAGCCTCTCTGATGTTGCCACTAAACCTTTACCGAATGTATCTCCTTGTTGCATAGGACCTTCATCTTTCTCTTCAACATAACCACCGGCCTCTCAAAAAAATTTAGGCGATCATCAACCGAATATCATTCAAAGGGACCACTTCCTCACCGTCCATCACACTTCAACAATTTAGAGACATGGAAAGTGTTGTGGATCTGACTGAGCTCACTTGGCAAATCCAACTGGTAGGCCACCCTCCCTACCGTAACTATCACATGGAACGATCCAATATACCGGGGACCTAATTTCTCCATCTTCTTGAAGCGTATCACACCCTTCCAGTGTGAGACCATTAGTAATAACACATCTCTGACCTGAAATTCCAACTTTGATTAGTGTCGATCGATATAACTCTTTTGTCGATTTTGAGCTGTCTGTAGTCTCTGCCTGATCTGCTGAATAAGCTCCATGGTCTGAAGGACTTCTTCAGTCCTTCCCATGACCCTGTGGCCAACCTCTCCTGAACATACCGGGGTATGATATCTCCCACCATACAAGAGCTTAAAATGTGGGGCACCAATGTTGAAGTGATAGCTATTGTTGTAGGAAAACTCCGCAAGTGGTAGGTAGTAATCCTAAGTCCCACCAAAATATATGACACAAGCCCATAACATATCCTCAAGTGTCTAGATGGTCTGCTTATTCTGACTGTCAGTATGCGAATAAGTAGCGTTGAAATGTAGCCTCGTGCCTAGTCCCTCGTGAAACTTATTCCAAAATCAAGAAATGAACCAAACATCTCGGTCTGAAACGATGGAGACCAGAACCCCATGACGAGCAATAATCTCCCAAACATACACATCAGCCAACTTTTGGCCAAAGAGCTCTCTCGTACGGCCAAAAAGTGGGAACTATTGGTCAATCGATCCATGATAACCCATATAGCATCAAAACCCTTGGTAGTGTTTGGCAACTTGGTGATAAAATGCATGGTGATCTGTTCTCACTTCCACGTGGTAACCTCCAAAGGTTGCAACTTGCCATGTGGCCTCTGATGCTTGGTCTTGACCATCCTATAGGTCCAGACCTTTCAGCATACTAGGCTATCTCCATCTTCATACACGACCACCAGTAACTCAATCCCAAATCCCAATACATCTTGGTGGCTCCCAGGTGTATAGAAAAGCGCGACTTATGGGCCTCCTCCAATACTATATGCTTGATCCCACCAGAAACTGGAACCCAAACCCGACCACACTGGGTCAAAAACCCTAGAATGTCGGTGATAAACCTATCGATCTTGCCCTTGATCCTTTCCTACATCCAGTTTTCCTTCCTAACACCCTCTTCATATGCCTCTCTAATCCAACCCAAAAGTGGATAGTTAACGAATATCCTCATACATCTCTCCAACTAAAGATCTAGGCGACTTGCGACTCAAGCAATCCGCTACAACATTTTCTTTACCCAAATTGTAAAGGATCTCGCAGTCATAATCCTTGACTACGTCCAGCCACCTGTATTGCCTCATGTTCAGATTCAATTGGTCCATAAGATATCGCAAACTCTTATGATCAGTGTATACTATATAATAGACCCCATAAAGATAATGCGTCCACATCTTGAGGGAAAATACAACTACCCTCAACTCCAGGTCATGAGTAGGATATCATGCCTCATGCGACTTCAGCTGCCGAGAAGCATAAGCAAATAATCGTACCTTTTGCATAAGGACTGCACCCAAACTAGTGATGGATGCATCACAAAATACCACAAAGTCCTTGACACTCTTTGGAAGGATCAACACCGGGGCCTCACATAACCTCTGTCGTAGCGTCTCAAAAGCAACCTGTTGCTCAGGGCCCTATCGAAAATCCACTCCCTTCCTTGTCAGACGATTGAGGGGTACTGCGATCATGGAGAAGTCCTGGATAAATCTCCGATAATAACCCGCCAAACCCATGAAGCTCTTGATCTCTAGGGGAGATTTCAGAAACTCTCACTACATTACGGCCTCGGTCTTGGCCGGATCAACCAAAATCCCATCCTAGTTAACGAGATGTCCTAGGAACTAGACCTCTCATAACCAAAACTTAGTTCAAGAACTTGCCACACAGCTGTTTCTGCCTCAATACTCCCAAAAGATTTCGAAGGTGTTCATCATGCTACTCTCTGGTATTGGAATACACCAAGATATCATCAATGAAAACAATAACTTATCGATCAACATTAACCTGCATACCGGATTCATCAAATCCATACACACTATAGACGCATTGGTGAGGCCAAATGGCATCACCACGAACTCGTAAAGCCCATAACGAGTCTGAAACGCGGTCTTCTCCATGTTATCCTCTCTCACCCTCACCTGATGATACCCCAACCTCAATTCGATCTTGGAGAACCAATATGCACCCTAAAACTGATCAAAGAGGTTGTCAATCCGTAGAAGGGGATAACGGTTATTTACCGTCAACTTGTTCAACTCCCAGTAATCAATGCACATCCGATGTGAACCATGCTTCTTCTTGACAAATAGAATTGGCGCTCCCCATGGAGAACTGCTTGGTCTAATGAACTACCTGCCCAGAAAATCTTGAAGCTGAGAGGACAACTCCTGCATCTCGGATGGTGCCATGCAGTACGACGCCTTGGTAATAAGAGCTTCACTTGGCGTTAGATCAATCCTAAACTCAACTTACCTTTTAAGAGGCACACCTAGTAACTCCTTCGGGAATACATCGGAAAACTCCCTAACAACTGACACATCTAAAATTGAGACCTACTCCCTACATGAGTATTTACCACATAGCAAGATAACCCGTACACCCATGCTGAATGTACTGTCAGACCCTAGCCACCAAACAAAATCCTGATCTAACCCTAGTACCTTCTCCATAGATAACTAGTTCTCCCCCACTTAGGGTTCGAACTACTATTCGCTGGCGCTCATAGTCTATCAGAGCACCACACTTGCTCAACCAATCCATCCCTACTATCACGCATACATCACCCAAAGGTATAAGGATCAGATTAATCAGATAAGGCACCCCGAAGATCTCCAGTACATAACCATGGATGCAGAAACCTCATGCTTGTTAGCAATAGAAACTCGCAACGGACACTCCAATTCGCTAAGGGTCATACCAAAATCCCTACTAAAATATCGAGACACGAAGGTACGAATCACGCACGAGTAAAATAACACAAGAGCAGGAAAAGAATTCACTAAGAATGTACCTATTAGAAACATGAACATAAACATAGCATAAAATAATCGACATAACAATAAATAGAAACATACCCACCATGACGTCTGGCGCCACCCTCACCTCCTATGTCGTGAGCTAAATAGTTTGACCTCGAGTCCTCGAGGGCTACGCCCTGCCCCGGCTCCCAGCAGTGATCCTTAAAGTAGCCGGCACTGGAGTTTATGTCGATCTAGCAGCAAAAAAAGGACAGATGGCCTTCACATGGCCCAACTGGTCACAATGATAGCAAATATTGGTGCTAGTTGCTGGAGCCTACTGACGACAATCCTTCGTAATGTGGCCATTCCTGCTACATTTGTGGCATCTAGGAGAATATCGACAAGCACCTTCATGAACCTTGACACACTTCACACAAGTGCAACCCCTCTGACTCCCAGATCTCATATCAACGGCCTTAAACCGCTTTGTTGTAGGCTGCAACTGCATCGGGGCCTGCTTCTACTCCATCGTCTGGAGCTCCATCTAGATCTCATGCCACATAGCGGCCTCCTGCAACCCCACCAGTGTACCATAGTGTTGCATGGACACAAACCAGTGGATGTCTGTCTTTAGCATACTCAAGTACTGGTTC